AATGCTGTGACCTGTTGCCTAGAAACAGTTACTTTCTTTTTTTATTTTCTTTGACTGTTGTTTGATCTAGAAGTTGTTTGAGATCTTGTGTTTGAGGGAGAAAAGGTTAAAACAGCACATCAGTGAGTTATTAAAAAAATAAAAATAAACTGAGCAACATCAGGCAACAACAGATGTGGGAGCACAGAATAACAAAGGAACTAAAGATTCATTTAAATATTTCCAAAATAGCAATTGCGCTCTTCAGTTGCACATTTTTGAACTTGAGATGAACTCTCCCAGAGAGACAAAATATGTAAAGGTTATTGTATGACCAGGGTACAAAATCGAAGGTCACTGTACGGAGTTCAGAGCAAATCTTGAGCACATTCCCAACTTTCCCAACAACTGTTGGTATGTGTTAAAAGATTGCAGAAAGAAGTTTACTTAGTTTTATTTAAATATACAGTTGAAACCAGAAGTTTACATACACCATTTAAAAAGACATAAACCTTTTTTTTTTCTCACTATCTGATAATAAATCCAACTAAATGTTTCCTGTTTTAGGTCAGTTAGGATTACCAAATTATTTCTATTTGCTAAATGCCAGAATAATGAGAGAGAGAATATTTTAAAGAATTTTTAATTACTTTCTTCAAAGTCAGAAATTTACATTTACTAAGATTACTATGCCTTCAAACTATTCGGGAAAGCCCAGATGATGATGTCATGGCCTTGGAAGCTTTTGATAGGTTAATTGACAACATTTGAGTTAATTGGAGGCACACCTGTGGATGTATTTTAAGGCACACCTCAAACACACTGCTTTCTTGGGAAAATCTAAAGAAATCAGCAAAGATATCAGGAAGAGAATTGTGGACCTCCACAAGTCTGGTTCATCCTTGGGCACAATTTCCAGATGCCTGAAGGTTTCACATTCATCTGTTCAGACAATCATACACAAGTATAAACACCATGGGAATGTCCAGTCATCATACTGCTCAGGAAGGAGACAGGTTCTGTGTCCCAGATATGAAGTAGTTTAGTGTGAAATGTGCGTATCTGGGCGCAAATGGGTCTTCCAAATGGACAACGACTGACTGATTCATAAATTAATGATTCCCTTTCATTTATCTTTGCCAGAATGTTGTGATGCTGATGAGTGACATTGTGGA